GAGGAATGGAGGGAGGGGAGGCTGCAGTTGGGATATGTTGTATGAGAGAAGAATAAATAAATAACAAAATCATGAGAGGGGAGGATTGTGGGGTCGGGGTGGATTTGTATAGGCCATCTCTTGAGGAGCTGCCTGTATTTATTTGTTAAGACCCTAGTCTTCATGGGTTGCCTTGTCCAGCATTAATACAAGGGAAGCACCTAGTCTTGCTGCAACTTGATAGCCGTGTTTGGTTGATACCCATGGGAGACCTGCTGTTTTCTGAATAGAAATGGAGAGAAGTAGATGTGGGGGCTCAGAGGGGAGGTGGGGCAGACTGGGAAGAGAAGAGGGAGAGGAAACTACCATCTTTATGCAAATAATAATCATTAAAAATGAAAATGATATTAAAAGAAGAATGTTACAACCACAGACTGGGTGACTTAGATAATAGAAGTCTGTTTTCACACAGTTCTACAGCTAGAAGTATGGGCTCAGGTGCTTGGCAGTGTTCATCCCTTCTAAGTCTGTGAGGGAACACTGCATTCCCAGCATAGCTCCCCTGTGGGGTTATGTGTGGCTGTTTTCTTCCCTTGGGGTCAAATTTCTTAGCATGAGCAGTACATTGCATAAGGGCCTACTTGAACCCCCTCCTTTGGATTTAATTCCCTCTCAACAACACTATCTCCACATAGGATTCCATTCTGATAGCCTGAGGATGTTGACTTCCATATCCAGATGTTTTGTTGGTTTGTTCGTTTTGGTAGTTGGTAGCAAATCTGCAGGACACATTGAGAAGACAGGCTCAGAAAACATCCTTATTCAGAAGAAAGGAGGACAGGAACAGAGAGTGGGGTAACATTAAGACAATGATCAGTATATTTAGAAAATGGCGGAACATTCAGGGAAGGTCTACCTTGGCTGAGTAAGGCACACAAGTTTGAAACCAGAGTGTATAGCACTGAAAGTCAGACTGAGGAACATTGTCCCCAGGGAAGATATACTGAGATCTGAGATAGTAGTGGGAAGAAGTTCTTGTTAACACCCTTTGAAAGTCCATTCCACATTGTCAGTCTCCCCTGCCTTCTTGGAGGTGTTCTATCACTGTCAAGCTTATATTGTTTATATAGAATGTTAAATATTATTTAGGCTTCACATAATGGCATGTGTTTGATGAGCAGTTCCTCAAAAATTTAACCAAATTTTTATTTCTCCAGGATTAAAGCTTTTCATATCACAACACATTTCTAATTTTGAGAAAGTCACCTTTCAGATTTTAGATCGTAGTGTGTATGACAATAGAGAACTTTCTGTTCCATAGCCCAAACAGATCTTGTTTGATATGTCCCATATTTCCTTCTGGAATGAGCCTTGTTCTGTAAACTCAGTCTTGCCCACACTGATGCTATTGTCCTTCCAACAGTTGACTTTCTCTGGCAGTACATTGCTAAGTGTATAGACTTAAGCCACATCCTTTTGAATCAGGAAAGTGACATTTGCCTTTTGCTCTTTTGATGGACATTCCTGTAAGATATGTATAATAATTTTATATTATGAGACCTTTATTTTACTGTTCTAGTATTGTGAAAATTCTAAGTGCTTGATGATCCTTGTAAAACTGATCTACCTTGTTAGAAATTCTTGAACAAAAGAGTCTACATCACACAAAAGTTCTTTTTTAACAATTCTACAATAACATTTAATAGAAATTTACAGTATAAACTCATATGTGGATACCTTTGCCTTTACAATGATCTCTATCATAGATATCTTGAAATCTGAAGAATTAAAGAAAAAACTTGCAGAGATGGGGTGGTGTTAATAATAATTCAAAAGAGGATTATATTGAAGTCAGAGTGGGAGTTGACAGAATTGCTGGCATGTTCATTGAAATCCTGGCTACTGATGTAGGACTTTATGTGAATTAAAAAAGAGACAAGTAGTTTGGGTACAGATGTCAGTAGATGAGGACATGAAGGATGGAAACTTGCAGCTTATCTTTTGATAGCATTTATTTTCTCATAAAAGTTGAATGTAATGTCACTAACTCCAAGGAATTATGTGAAAAGTGTTGGATACTGGTAGAGAATATAACATGGGAGAACATCAGAGCAGAGTAGATAGGAACTAGATTTGTTTGGTTATGGTATATGTTCCCATGTGGTGAGGAAGTTTGGCCTGTGTGTGTGACTTTATCCAACCGTGTTCATTTGTATGGCATAAGTAGAGGAAAGGAGAGGCTTTAACAAAAGCCTTGTTTTGGAGCTCCCGAATGCCTATAAAGAGCTTAAAGAAAGTGAGGGTTAATGAGAACTAATAGTGGTGAGGATTGACCACACAATGGAAGCAGGTTACTGGTGTTGCTGATGGGATGAGGAAGGGTGAAAAGATTCTGGGGAGTGTGGGTATACATGATTAGAAAGGCAGGAAGCAGGACTTTGTAAGACATAGAATATCTGAAATTGCATTCAGATTTGTCCATATTGTGCTTACCACCTAAACCCCTTTCCTAGTCGACACATCCAATTCTCATCTTCTTTTCATTGTCCAGGTGTTAGACCCCACTCCCAAGCTGAGGAAATCCAAGCTCTCTTGGAGTGTTTCTTAGCATTTTACTGAGTCCAGATGACTGTTAATGTCTCACATTTCCCTTCAGTCCCCAGAAGTTCCTGAGAAATTGTGATTGAGTCTAGCCTTCTATGTGTCTCAGCCATCTGTTAAACTTATAGCAGAATAATTACATCATAATGGTGATATAAAAAAGTGAGCTTTCTGTCTCCTTTACAACAGAGTTGTGTATTATGCAGAAAATGCAGAATAAATGATAGCAGTGATTTTGTGTCTTGTGCCTCAAAAAGCACTGTTCCCTCTTAGATGTGCTTTTTTCTTTATTGGGAGCCCCTCTTCCCCATATTTAAAGTTTTTATTTAGTTGTTAATTACTGAAGAAAAACAGAACTGTTGTTTCGAAGCCATACAAAGTCATTTTCTTTCCCTTCATGTGTCTTCATGTGTACTGTGTGTGAATATGTTTATGGATATTTCCACATGTATGGATTCACTTGTGTGTCTAGAGACTTCAGGCTGACATTGGGTGTCTTCCTTGATTGTTTTCCACCTTATTCATCTGAATAGTCTCTTAGTTGAACATGGAACTACCCAACTTGCTCCAGGCATCCTCTGTCTCTACCTTTTAAGCACTGGGATTAGAGCCGGGTACCATTCCCACCTGGCATTCACTTGGATTCTGGTATCTGAAGTCCTGTTCTCATACTTGCATATCCAGCACTTTATCCACTAAGCCATGTTTCCAGTCCTGAAGTTAGTGTTCTTCACTAATCTGAAGTAGGCTTTTCCTCTAGCATTAAGGTGTCCATGTCTGCGCAATCTCCACATTTCTGATCCTGGGGGAAAACTCACATGGCTTGCAGTGACTGTGTTACCCTAAACAGACAAACAGATTTAAAGTAGTTTAATCTTTGGTGGGGTGGGGAGCAGGTACATAAAACATTCAGCACACATTGCTGAGGTTGTCTAAGAAGAAAGACATTGTTCAGTTCTTTTGGATTAATTAGTTGAGAGAGGGGAACAGAAATGGCAAGAAAAGGGGAGTTAGTTGGTCTATGTTTTTCTCATTTCCCACATATTTGCTGCTGCTTTTCTCTTTTCTTTCACTCTCTTTCCTTCTTCCTTCCTTCCTTCCTTCCTTCCTTCCTTCCTTCCTT